GGCTGAAAGTACCACTGCTGAGTTGGCATGGGATAACCGGGGAGTTACCCGCTCACAGATGCTAAGGGCAGAAAAGAAAAATTAATAACCTCTATCATAATTTTGGTGCTCAATTCATTTTATGAGGTAATGTTTCAGAGTCCCATGGCCCAAGTATCAAGACATTAAAGAATCAGTGAGAAAAGTCAAAGCTCCATGCTTAGGTCAAATTGGGATCCAGCACTGCAGAAGACTCATTCCCACAAAATACAGGCAGAGCAGGGATATCAGAAGACTTTAGGAACCAGTAATAGGGGACACTCAAACTGGAAGGAAACTAGCAATACCCCAAACACTTGAGCTCACACCATTTACCTTCTTGTTTATAGTCCTCTTTGTCTCCCCATATTATGTTAGGGCTCCCTGCCTCACAGCCCATTCCTACTCAACCTATAGAAAGTCAAATTCAGTATTCTGAGAGTTATTTCATAGTGCGAGATATCAACTCACTTGTGATTTAAGGTTTCATAGTAAGATGAAGATGGCAATTTGACAGGAAAAAAAAAATTATCCAACCCCCTATGCTTGGGATAATAAGAGAAGCTCTAAAAGGCGTTTGTTTTGGAAAGTATCAGAACACCACTGCAATATTCTCCCAACTTCTTCCCTTTCTCCAAGTCCTTGCCACCTATGCTGAAGTGCCTGGTAAAATCTTGGGTACTGAATCATGTATGCAATGTTCAGATATTATTTTGATAGCTCTTTATGCAACATAAGTAGCTGGTTTATGGAACTAAGGATACAAGTAGGCTATGTTAACTCTCCCTTCTTTCTATATGTATTTGGCTGGCTCTTGACCTCGGTTAGGTCTTTATACAAATATCATTTTTCTCTATGACACCTCCCTTGACTACTAAACAAATACACCCCCAAATCCTATAATCTCTCACCCCAGATGCCCAGCATTTCTTGAATTTCTTCCTTACTTTATCTTGTTAGCACTCATCACCATCAGAAAATGTTACATATTGTATTATATACACATAGTATATCCCTGTCCCCACCCCTCAAAATAAGTGCTCTGCAGAGACCATGGATTTTGTCTGTGCCACTGCATTATTCTTAGGGCCTATAACACTGCCTGGCAAAAGGCATGGAATTAATAAATATTTGCTGAGTGAATGAGTATAATGCCAATGACTAGCACAAAATAAAATACTTCCTAAAGTTCTTTTCAAAATATGTTGAAAAACGATGAAAGAAACTATCAGGGGCCTTAGTTAAGTCTAGAGGGAATAATTTCCCAGACAAGTGAAGAGCACTTACATTCTAGTAGCTTGGGAATCAGCTTCAGCCAGGCAAGGAAGGTTCTTATCTACCATAATTAAAATATGTCAACTTTAATGAAGAGCCAACATTTCTTCAGAAGTACTTTGCCTAGTACAGTGCTTATCTACACAAAATGGTCATTAAAATTTGTGATAACTATAACTTTGTAAGCAAAAATGTGTAGATAAAATTTAGTGGTCAATTTCTAATTTAGTCAAAGAAAATCTGCAACACTAAGGTGGTAAAGGGTTGAGCACGGCCCCCCAATCCTTCAAATTCACACGGACATGATTTTTATATGCAATGGGAAGCAGTGTATATTTTGCTGATTTTAACGTATTTTTTCTAGTACTAAAATATAGGTATAGTTCAGTTCATTAACTAGCATAATGCCACTAAATAGCTAACATGATAAAATATGTGTCCCTGTAGAGACATCCAATAAGCATTTTTAGAAATGGCCAGGACGTGGGAGATGGAAGATAGTAATGAGGGAGCTATTAGTAAAAGTAGTTGTACTGTTCAGCAGGAAACGAACCAAATATTATCCAGGAACCCCACTGACCTCTGAGCTTCCCGGTCATCTTTAGGATTATAATTAGACAGGCAGTCTAGGATGAAAATCTGGCCCCACTCGGTGCATTCGTTCAGAGCTGTCAGCAGCTTATTAATGTTCTGTGGGTTCAAATCGAGTAAGTTGCTGTTTGGGTGAGACTCACTGATTTCTGACAATGCTGCTACAGCATTAGCCACCACCTGGGAAAGAGAGAGATACAACCTTGATGCATCCAGGACAGTACAACTATGACAAACAGTCAGCCTTCCCTGGATCACTCACAGATCTCAGCTCATAACCATTCCTGAACATTTTACCAGTCAGACAGAAACAGACAAACACTTTCAAAATATATATTAAGCCACCTATAATACCATATATAGCTGCTTGACTAGCAAAGTCACACATGATTTACTATTTTATTAACTACCTTAATAATACTCCAAACTATCAATAAAATCAATATGAACAGCTGCAAAAAGTGAAGGCTAAATAAGAAATACCTATATTAGGTAGTAGAGAGAAAAATGTAGGCTAAATAATTTTTTAGAGGTGCAGGTACGTAGGTATAAGGAGAGTGGACTGTCAATCATTTCACATATCTCAGAGTAAGAATACATAGGCCGAGACTCTAGTTCATTAGATACAATGCTAAGAAAACATGTAAGCTCTGTGAAATTCAGCTTCCTCATCTGGAAATTGGGGATAATTTTTCTTTTAATTTTTGACAGGGTCTTGAGGGATGGTTTTAAACTCACCATGTAGCTATCTGTTCTTGGCCAGCTTAAAGCTTGTAATTCTCCTGTCTTCCCCTTCTCAGTGCTGGAGCTATTTTGTTTTAGTGTGAGAATAAAATCATACAGCATGCAGGAGCTTTGGACAAAGGCTTATGAAAACTTAAGGTGGTTATAGGCCACAATTTATCATGTATAAGTTGCACAGCTATTTACAATGACATCTCTAAAACTCAGATGTATTTTACAACCAACAGCCTTGGCAGTTTAATAGGAAGTAATTTATTTTTCTAGTAATACAGAAAATAATCATGGATCTTATGAATGGAATTTTAGATTCAATGAAATACAGCATTTCAAATATATTCTTCATGCAGATAGTATGGTAAATGAAAACTGTCACCCTAGGCAAGAAACTGTACGTGTATCCTGACTCACAGACTTGGGAGTCCATGTAGCTGTAATAAGAAAAGTCAACACGATCAAAATTACAGATTATTTTTAACATAACAAGTTTGTAATAGTACACATTTAAAGTTATTCCAAAATTACAAAAAAAAATTACTGTCCTATAGCTCTGTACAAATTAGTTTTAAAATACACTTTGGGGGAAGGCTCCAGCTATTACTAAACATTAGGAATATGAGGCTGAATAGAAATACTTCATAAGTATAAAGAAATGTGACGAGACAGAGAAAGAGAGAGAGAGATCGACTGACCGACCGACTGACCGACAGACAGACAGACAGAGCAAGAAAGAGGAAAAGGGGAAGAGAGGAGAGAGAAGATTCTGAAAAATGTGAAGCTAGTTTTAAGGTTCTTTGTTGTGGGGATTGAACCACAGCAACCTGAGCCTGAGGGCTTTGTTGAAGCAGCCACTTAAAGAACTGAGCTAAGGGGCAGGCCCCCAAAGTTCTTTGCTAAAAGCCTGAGAAACTGAGTTCTGCAATTACCCTCTTATTAGCAAGACAAGAAACATAACAGCTACAGTTTAGCTACTGGTTTTAGTATCCAGATTATCCGGACACTGCACATTATTCTAGTGTATTCTGCCTGGAAGATAAATGCTAGAGAATATAATGTACCAAATAATATACTTATGGCAATATTTCTTATTATGTAAAGGATAATGATGGCACAAACAGAAGCATCTCAAGCTGTAATTTAGTGACCACAACAAAGATTCCAAGAGGAAAAATCAAAAGCCTCATCACCTGTTAGTATAATTCTAGACATCTTATCCTTATGAAGACAAATCAAGACCAGCTGGATAACATATAAGGCTCTTTTCTCAATTTGGTTTGCTGACTCCACCATTAAACATGAAAACTGGGCCAGCCAAATAGCTGAGCGGATTAAAGCGCTTGCAAGCAGGCACAGGGGCCAGGAGTTTGACCCCAGGCCTGCCATGTTGGCCCTGCCCCCAGGGCGCGCTGAGATAGCAATTGAGACTGGGTGTGGTGGTGTGTGCCTGTAATCCCAGCTCTTGGGAGGCTGTAAACAGGCGGATCACTACGAGTCCAATCTAGTAGTGAGACCCTGAACGCCCTGTAGACCCTTCCCTAAAATACAAAAAAAAGCATGAAAATTGATGGAAAACTAAAAGGTATAGAGTAAAACAATAATCCCTTCCATGTACTTCAAATGCAAAGAAAAGATAACTTATTACCCATGAATAATACCTGTTTAACCTCACTTTAGTACAAATAAGTCAAAATATATTGAAAGACCAAATCCTATTTTCATCTACTGCTGTCAAGATATGCCCAATGTTGTTAACTAGTTCAAAATAAATCTTTTATTACAACTACCATTTCTACAAGAGAATAAATACCCCCACCTTTTGGTTTTTTGAGACAGGGTTTCACTGTGTAGTTCAGGTTGGCCCTGACCCTACTGTGTAGGCCACAATGGCCTTCAACTCATGGCGATCCTCCTGTCTCAGCTGCCGGAGTACTGAGATTATACACCTGTACTACCATTCCTGGCTGAGAATCCCCCTTTTAAAGTTAAATATAAGATATGATAATAAATGCAAAAGAGCAAGTGAGAACTAGGGAGACTAAAAAACCAAGAGAGGACAGGAAAGGAACAAAAGGAGCAATTAGAATTTCACTGCTATCATCATAGGCAACCAGAAATTAAACTGAGTATATAATGCAGCCAATGGAGAATAAATTCTGGTATTTAAATAGGCAATTTCCGCTTATCATATTAAAACAAGAAAGGATATAAAGAAAAGCTAGTCTTATTAGAAGATGCAGATCAGATCAAAAGATTACACTGTGCAAAGCCTGTAGGAGAAGAGAACCCTGTCAGCCACCACCTCAATAACCGGCTGGAAGAGCTCCACTCCCCGCACTGTGCTAACCCAGACCCTCTAAAACTCTGTGAGTTGCTTCTGTTCGTCTAATTTCATTTCTTTATCTTCACATTCAGATGGCTGTGTTTCCACAAACATCCTGAGGCAGTCCGTGAGGAGTGCTTGGCATCCTCCTAGTCAGTAAACTGTTTCCCTCATGCTAATGGAAACTCACAATGAGACAGCCATACCCAATCTGAGGTAGAGGAAGAAAAGGACTGACTTTAAGATGGAGGGTGGGTGGTGTTATTGTTTGTATATAGGTATTCCCCCCAAGCCTCATGTAAATCATGGGGCAGACTTCTATAGTTTGTAATTAACTCATGATCCACTGGGATTATGTGTGTGAATGCTGCTGCGATTATAGGTAAGAGCGCTGTACCAGCCTGGGGCTGCTATCTCCCTGCAGTGTAAGGGAGACAGAACTGCTCTCTGCTGCCACTGCTGCTGCCACTCCTCCTATCTGCTCTTGCAGAGTTGCTTTTTTTCCACTGCCATCAACAGCTGCTCTCTGCTACATGCCGCTCTGCCTTAGAGCCAGCTGAGTAAGGACTGAAACCTCCACAAATTGTGAGCTAAATAAACCTTTCCTTCCTTAACTTTGGGTGTCAGATATTTTGTCCCAGCAATGAGATGAGTAACTGAGACAGGCGGCTACAGCACACAGGAGCACCCACATGTCACCATTCACAATATGTTTCTTTGGAACCAAGCAAACATGTCTGTTTTTAAAAATGAACTTTAAAAATGATAGATTGAAACAAAAATTTCTTCCCCATAGAGACTTCTCCAAACAACAGTGCAACACTACGTGTATCAGACTTGGTGAAAAAAATCACAAAAAACACATTCAACTCTTAAGAGTGCCTGTCCTACCTTTTCTGAATATTAAAATAAAGGCTGCCATTTTAGTTTGAAGCATCCTTTGATTTTAGATTTTTTTTCTTGCAACTCTTACTATGAACTTTATTTTTGTTTCAGAAATTTTATGTTAGTGTTTCTTTAAACCAGACACTATAATAGAAACAATGAACCTTTGATAAAGATTTTAAGAGTTTACTTATATATTCTTCAAATTCTTACACATAAATTATATTTTATGTTGATGATTTAAGAACAAGCACAATAACATAAAAAACAAAGCCTCGTCTGCTTCAGGAGAAATGTTTTCTTTAAACATCTTTGCTGTCAGTTCGGGGTGAACCAGGATGGCCGCTTCCTGACTCGTTCAATGATTCTCTTTTCCTGATCTTCTGGGGCTGCTGTCTCTCCCGTGTATAAGACCACAGTCTCTGTAGAGGGAGCTTTAAAAGGGCCCCCTTCTTGTTTCCCTATCTGTTGTCTGATTTCTGCAGTCTCCTTGCTCACTTTCTCATAGCTAAAGGCACAAAGGACATGCTTCAATTTTAGGTGACCACATTCAGGACAAACATCAATATTGTTCTTAACTTTAATGAGATTCCAAGGGTTTCTTCTTCTATACTGGTTAACTTCAATACTGCATCTGCTTTTGGGAGCTGCCATCCAAAAGATACCATCTAAGAGGCTGGAATTCTCCTGACTTCCACTGGTATCATTTGCTGGCTCTGTAAAGATCACTGGACCATGGACCACTAGTGCTGGTGCCCACGGAGCACTGGAAAGGCTGGGCCAGCTTTGCTGAAATTTCCACTGCAGCAACTCCAAACAATTTCGAAGCAGGACCCGGGACGCAGGCCACCATGGAATCACTACCAGCAGCAAGGATGCCACTATGTTTACCATGTTTCTTTCGGGAAGACGCAGACCACCTGATTTTAGATGTTAAGACAACTAAGTATAACATTTTTCCCCTAGGGAAAATGTTGTAATTTCAGAAAAATTAAGAATTTCTAAGAGAAAAAGGTGGATTTAAAAAAATGTTTGCTTTAAAATGAATTAATGAATTTATAGTTTTGCATCCAAGAACCAACCAGATCCGACCCTGCTTAGCTTCTGAGATCAGACGAGACCAGGCGCGTTCAGGGCAGTATGGCTGTAAACAAACATTTATTTATTTCTTTTTTCTGTATTTTATAGAAGGGTCTACAGGATGTTCTGGGTCTCACTACTAGATCGGACTCAT